GTGTCTGCTGTGGCAGATGAGAGGTAGCACAAACAGCTGACGGATCCTAGTGGAACGCGTTTCAAGAGAAACGTGAGGAATGAACAAGAACGAGGGTGGTAAAGTCTGTGAGGAGTCCCGTATTTTTTTTTAATGGACACATTCCTACCGTGTGAAACCCGTACTGCTACTCTAAACAATGTCTGTTCATTATTTGGGCAAGTGAAAGATTCTGTTCATACTGTGTCTTTGAATCCAACCTCGAAAGCCCTCGACCAGGCATTCTGTTTGGCAATACTAAGTATACCAACAAATCAGGATTCAACATGAAACGGGTTTTCATGACAATGATCGGAAATGCCACCGTTCGAACGCTTCAGACTTTCGCTTAACGTTGCTGATGGTCGAAGGTCCAGCCACGTCCATGCCGGACAATGACCAGATTTAAAGCTTAGTAAGTCTCCGGTTCGTAGAGTTTCTACAGGTACGCTTTTCCGTATTCCAGCTAAGTGTTTCGTGCCAATTCTTGCCGTTCTTAAACAGTCACCTCCCAGCCAATCATTTTACTTCTACGATAACCAAACACTGACGATTCCTTAACAGTCGCTTGCCATAAATAACGCAGAAACGTGGGAAAAGTTACACAGAAAAATAACAACATATAGTAAATGTTATTAAATAATTTCTAAAATTCTTTTCGGTCCTGTGTCTTCTTCGCCAATTAAAAGGGTGCCTCGATCAATAGTTCGAAACGAAATGAACAGACAGATGGTAAAGTGTTTATAGGAATTTTCTACATTTCAGCCACACTACGTTGGTCATCAACAGAACAAAAAACGGCCAACAGTTTGCCGTAGTTTCGCCAGAGGATGACCAATTTAGTTCGGCCGAAACGTCGGCACTTTTACGGAACCAACGAACATCAAACATTATTTTGACGCTGCTTAGTTTTAAGTAAAGACCAAGCAAACAAAAGTTGGATAAACAGGACGACGGCGAAGATGATGATTATACAGCGAATTCACACAACCCCTATGGCGACCGTCAATGAATACCACATAGAAAAAATTCACCAGATATGTCCACTTGGGACAATTAACGGCTCGGAACCAGTCCATTGGTCCAGAGCTCGTTTCAAGGCATCGTGCAGGGTACAACAGGCACCGAAGAAACGCTGACATTCTTGAAAACAGATAATTATCAGCTGCTGTAAGAACCATACTGTATGAAAGCACGGTACCGTACTGCCAACGGTTTTGTACGGTTGCGACGGTTTTGTACACCTTGGCGCTGACGAATAGCAACCGAAGAGTTGACGAGAGTGTAGCAGCCGGCTGTGGAAAGAAAAATGCTAAGAATTTCCATCAGGAGAAAAAAGTGAAATGAAGAAAGAGGATGAACGTCGGAATGAAGGCCAGTTGTATAGGTCTCAAAAGAACGAAAGCGGCACTGAACGATCACATTGCGTGACTGAGGCTCGAACGATTCACTTCAGCACTGACGGGCTGGGGTCCAGTTGGAAGACATCAGCTGATCGTCAGATGGGACGTGAGTTAAAAGAAAGATACGGAAACGCTTGAGGCACATGACCGTAGAAATCAAATCAAATAATAATTATCCCAGTTAATTAGAAAGAACGGTAAATTAGAAATGTCAAGAGTCTATGTACTGAATGAAGGCATGAACAGAAAGAATTTCGGCTCTGTCGGAACCATCTTCATTCAAGATGAAACCGAAGTACTGGAGGGAAGAGACTTGATGCAACTCACCATTTCCAACGGCAATTCAGGCTTGGATGCACCATCACTTTTGTCTTTGGGAAGTCGGAGCCAACACCAAAGTCGTTGCTCTAAATTTTGACTCCTTTAACACATTCTGCAGAGGTAGTGTATACTGTAGCCGGTGATTAGTACAGCATATATCAATCCTGAAATATCCGGCGAGGCCTACCACTATTGGTTGAGTAACGGTTTTGCCAAAGAGTTAACACACCTTTAATCATAGGTAACCAGTCA